ACAAACAAATAATAATAATGTAGTGTATTTGTTGGAGGTGTATATGTAATAAATTAGGGATTGTTGAGATGTTGATAGAAAAGTAACTTTAAAGTTAGAGCGAATTTTCATGGAAATCGGTAGATTAGTTTAGGTGCTACAGTCTATAGCAACGCAGGTTTTTTGGTCGCCATCTTGAAAGGAAAAGACGGAGAGAAATGTCGATGAAGGAGGATCATCCTCGGGTGACCTCTAATTTTAAATACATATTTGAAAAAAATCGGTCCAGTAGTTTCGGAGAAAATGCGCTAACGTACGGCGGGCGTACAAAAAAAAAAGGTTTATTCGTTTTTCCAATTCTACGTATCATGAAACGCAAAACCTCAAATTTCGAGAGGGGGTTAAGTTTCTGAATTTTTTGTACGATGCCAATGGCTCATTATTGAAAATAATAAACAAAGCGATATATTGTTCTTAATTTTAGGTACTAAGGTAGATTGTGACTTAGGTAGGCGAAGTTGATGATGACGTATATATTAATGAAACGACCGCCAACCGGCGACTTGAGAATATTCAAGATGTAAATCCATCACTCTTGATGTGTCAAGCGTTCCCAGAGTTCTATAATTAGCGAGAGCTGCCGATTCAGCTTGTCAATATTCCCTTGGGCAGAAATATATATTCTTAACCCGGCTGACATTGCTGGATAACTGAGATATTTTTAATCCAGGGTTATCATTAATACATCAACGAAAAAAAAAAAGAGAAGAAGGAGTAATTTATTACGATATTATTTAATACCTTATTTAGCCATTGTATGTTATATTTTCTAGGCGATACCCTCCTCTGCTACTGTAATTACTATCATTATCGCTTTTTATTACCGAGCGATTTGTATTCATTAGGCAGCGTTGTAAACAGTATTTTTCTCCTTTGCTCACCATTAAAAATATATATTCAATTACTTAAATAAAAGAGAAAAAAATATCGACCTATAAGGAAAATAGTTCATGATGCATTTATATTTTTAGTGAACTCATACTTATATCAATCAATTAAATCATTTATTGATATCCAATGTAAAATAAATGTTTAACTTCATCTCTAGGACTCATTTTATATGAGAGTAAATTTTATTTATTCGGAACAATGCTACTACAATAATCCGTTTTTAACACGATCTCCTTTAGTTCAGTTTTAGTCTTTAGCATCAGTGACGCGGTTGGGAGAGTAGCGCAGGGATCTCTTGAAGTCCTGTTTTTTCCTTCGATAGTTGGGGGAAGAAGCCTGGCTTGGGGTTCCCTGCCTGATTGTATATATTGTAAATAGGTATGACCGTGTTTTTATGTTTAATTTACTTATCTTTAGGTTATTTTATTTTTTATAAAATTAATGTACATAGTTATTATTATTATTTTACTTTTGTTAATTTTATATTTTTTGTATATATGGTATGAATGTGTTCATATATCACTATAATTATTGTCCACGTGACAGATTGTTATATTACTAACCAAAAAAAAATTCGTGTTAACCGAAGTTTTAAAACAAAGAAGTTTGATTTAACCGTTTGCCTGAAAGTTTCTCTTTACTTATCTCCTCTGTGGCGAGAAAGATTTATCATAAAAAATCCGAAATGTATATGTACATCATATTAAAAAAATAGATGAATATGACAACCTATTTCGTTTCAACATAATGATCCTTATTTATCTAAAAATATTTATACTCCGTTTCAACGCTTACGCACGTATGTGGCAATGTCAAATTTCATTCCTGAGTGGTAGCAACTTAACGATGATATATTCACCGTTATGGAGATTCAGGGTCTACAGTTGGACTTCCATGTTTTGAACTATGGTTTATAAGATTAATAAATTAGATATTAATTTATTTAGCAGTTGTTGGAGTTGGAGTACTAAATGTATTCAGATATAATTTTAAATGAGCCACAAACAAGTTGCAATAATTTATAAAAAATGTTAGTCTAGTCTGATTTCCCAGAAGGAATTTATTGAAATTAATTTTAATTCTTAACATAAAAAGTTATAGTCCAAAACCTCTAGAAAAAATATTCTATAATTTATTTATTTTATATAGAATATATTTATCTTTTTCAAATATATTTTATATGCATACATATAAAGAACAGAATAGTGAGAATTTAAAACGAGTAAGGTAGATAAAGAAGCACGTGGAGCAGACTGGGGGTTGTGCCCCCAGGGAACGCCCCCCTAACTGGGAAATATATCGCTTCCGAAACAACAACTTCTCTTCGCACCCTGCTACGGCTTTATATAGCTTTATTTGTGGACCCACAACGGATATCTCTGTCGATAAGACAATTTATCTCGGCGACAAATATTCTCCATTCCGTCGTCTTTACAGGAAAAATATATCTTCCGTTCATTAACAAAATTTAATTGAAAACAAAATGAACAAAATATTTTATTTTAAGAATAATATTTTATTTCTATTTAAATGATACTAAGAAGAAAAAAGAATAAGGAAAAGGACTTAAAGTAATAAAATATAAGTCCAATACAAATCCCGAAATAATTAAATATTAAGTGGAATTGAGAAAATAAAAGAGACCGTTTAAATTTTACCGTAATTGAAAGGTTTCTAAATTCCCATAAAAAACAAATTATTAAATCGTACAATTTTTAGTAATGATACAACCGATTGTGATTTTTATACAGGTTTTGATTTTTTATTTTGACTTTAATCGACTAAGAAGGAAAATGTAATTCCCTCCTCCCTCCAAAATATTGCATTTACGTATTTCTAAATTATTATTATTATTCTATATTATTTCTATATTCTCAATAGTTCACTTACTAATGTACTCCTCACATTATACGCATGGGCTAACTAGTTAGTGAATAATTTTAATAATAAGACAGAAGATTATAATTGGAGCGATTGTGCAAATAAAATATTTTTATAATAAATTAACTCTCTAATCAAAAGTTGTCCTTATTCAAGTCATTAATGCTTTAATACAATATTTCTTTTATTAAATTAAGTTGATATTTATTTTCTACAAACGCTTTTCAATATTTTTAATATTTTTCGTTTTTATTAATTTATTTTATTTATAACAATGGGAGGTTCTTCAACCTCTTAGAGGTCAATTTTTTTTTAGCAACAACAGTATTACTTGAATAGAAAAAATTGTCTTACGAAAACTTTATTATCTACCACAACGAATTCAGAACTGTATATTAGACATTTTTTAAAAACATTTTCATTTACATATACCGTAACTAATCAAGTAACAGTATTAATTTTTCGTATGACAGTTTTTCTACTTATTAATAAGAGTACTTACTTGAATAGAAAAATTGTCTTACGAAAAATTAATAATCTACCACAAATAATTCAGAACTTTGTATTAGACATTTTTTAAAAAGATTTTTATTTATATGTATCGTCCATACAAATGTTAGGCTATCAAATCAGAAAATGCATGTTTCAATTTCCACACAAGTATGTGCTTTAATGAACGTTTGAAGATTATATAATCGCTCTTTAAAAATATTTAATTACAATCGCTGGAGTGGAGAATTGAATATTTTCATAACCAATAGTTACCACGATGTTAATTTAAAAAAAATGGGTGGTATTAGATTTGTTATATGATAAAAGAAAATTCAATCAGTACATCCAAATAATATATATTATACATCAAATAATATATTTTAAATAATTCCTGAAATTGATATTTGAATAATGTCATGACTGGGAAAACCGTGTTCGCTCATTTAGACTTTAGAACTTTATTTTATTATTTATATCTTCAAAAGTTACCCAGCTGTCCAACACAATGCAGGCTCAAGTCAGCGTTTCCATTAATGTTGCAAGTGACAGTGCTCCCGGAGAAGTCTCACAATCACTCTAAGTACAAAGATTTCTCGGTTATTAAATTGCTTCTTGTTTGACGTGACTCGAAATGCGTATATCAAATTCAAATCATACAGGTTAATATGTTTGTATTCATACATACATGAACTCCAACAATATAATTTTGACTTTTCCCTCTCGGCTTGGTATATGAGGACCCTCAGATAATCAAATCTATCATCGGCACCTGCTTTTGTTAAGGTCAGGAGTGACAGCGGCGTTATTCGGAAAATGACAAGGCCGTGAACGAAGTCCTGTCAATATTGGAGCAAGGACTGCCGAAGGATCAATGCAGTGAGTACATATTCCAAAGCTGTGGATGGTGCTTAGTCACTCTATAAATTGCTGATCTTATGTCGAACGTGAATAATGACGGGTACACGTTTACATTTCAGCCGAGGGATTTCAGATCACCATTATTCAATCATATACCACATAAAAGACTCGGATCAGTAAAGTAGCAGTTACATCCTAAGTAAAATTGAATATTTTAAATTATCGCCATAATACATGTATATATTTTATAACTTACTCGTTTGCGAAATATTATATAGTTTTCGGAAGGTACATTCACATTCTATGTATAATAAAGAAAAGAAAACAGTAAAATAGTAATACTAAAATTAAATATATATAAACAAAAACAAATCAATATAACAACATATGCACAAGCATACTTTTATACAATATTTAAAAAATTCTTTCACTCAGGAGAACTACTTCCCCAATCATAGAAGGAAAGGGAGGACTCTAGGAGATCCCAATACATATCACTCAGCCGCATTACCGGCATTAAGAACTAGTTGTAATATTTATAAACATTTAAAATGAATTAATACGTTAATAAGAAATTTTATTTGCGGATTAAATTTCTCGAATAAAACAGGGATAGACGAAAACGTACTTTTTTTCCCCTTCTTTTCTCTTAAACTTTGACACCTATCAAAACAAAAATATCAGCAATCAGATGATGATCTATGACTTTTGGAAAAACTATTATGCTAGGAGGTCCCTTATTGAATTCATTGTATGCATTTATTTATTTTTTGTAACCATCTATTTCATGTTCGATAATTTGTGATTTAATGTTATTTATCATTTATGGCCTCACCTATTTAAAAACGCTGAACTTGAGGTTTGCTGTGTGCAGAATAGAGATTTCGCCGTGACTTCCTTACGATTTTGACTAGGAATCCACTCTGGTCGTGGTTGTGCAGACGCTGGTTAGAGTAGATTACGGTTAAATCGTGATAACTGTGTTCGATTTCCATCCAAAAAACGCCTAGAGAAGATTAAGGAAAACATCTTAATATTCTGCATTGGAACTATATTATATTCGTTTTGGATACTAACAATACCAAAAGCGTATTAAATATGATACTTGCAGAGGCCGCGATTGCCAAGCGATTTAAAGCGTAAACTTTTACATTCTCGAGTCTAGTGATACTAGTGATAGAAATCTTTTTCGCTGAGGACCCATGGAATGAATCTCGGCCTTCCCATTCTGGTTAGAATAGGTTTGGGTGTACCTCAAGGACAACCTACCTATATGCTATAAATGACGATGTAATAGTTCAGAGGTACTTCCTATAACGAAAACGTCCACTAAGGAGATTGTATCATGTCATCTTCATCCATTAATGAAATCTTTATAAAAACATTCTACATTTTTCGATTCACAGTTGTTTCGAGTTTGTTAGCAAGTGGGTCTCCTTAGACAGGTATCAGAGTTGTTTTAATTTGGAAATGTGTATTACTTGTAAACAAGTGTTTTATTTTCTGCACCACAAGTTGGCGGGGCGTATCCTTATGAATAAGTTTTAATAGTTTTGTATATATGAGTTTTTGCATCATGATGTGAATCAATCAAACTTACATTTTATTTATCATTAAACAAAAACCTATAAATATTAATTGCACCCATCAGATTTATTGAAACTGTCAGACAATCATTACTAAGAATGACACGAATAGTTCTTCTAAAGCAATTCATAAGGTTGATTTCTTCCTTACACACATGCGAAATATTATGAAATTTAATTTACGGTATCTGCTCGTTCTACGGTCTACTTTTTCCTTAACGGTATCTACTCAGTTTTATGAGTACATCAATAAGGAACTTCCTTAACTGGCCTCGAAAACTTCGAAATGAAAGTCTGGCGAATTTATGATTGAACATCCTACCTCTACTTCAATATTACTACCTACCATCTGCGGTGGTAATCAAATCCATCACTATCTAATTTATAATCTATTGTCTACTACAGTGTAATACGTGTCGTAAGACATTCTAGTTAATTTGATTTTAATAAACCAAACTAGTATTATTTTTATTTTATTCATAAGTCATACAAAACGTAAACAGGAGGATAATACGTTAAGGACATAGGTTTCCCCAGCTTCAGCCATAAGTATAACAAGAAAAAAAAGCCATTACGCTGTGGGGCGAGCTAAGGACACTTAATGCCGCACTTGCAGCGAAGCATTTACGTTCCCTCGTGACGGACACGTTTACAATTGTCTGAGCCAATCCGTCCTTTAATAGCAGTTCGTGTTATGGGGAAAAAAGCAAATTGCTCCGTCTGACCCTAACGATTCGAATGTACCGAACTGTGTGTGAAACGTTAGATATAAGTAACCTTAACATCTTGCTGATAGAATTCAAATTTACTTAATATTAAAAAACAAATTCAGATCATTAACGCATTGCTTAATTAATTAATTTAATTATGGATTTCATCAAATTTCCTCCAGTAATTTCGCTAACACATATTATGAGAATAGAATTATTCCTGCACTTGTTGTAAATGCTTAATATGCCATCATACTAAGCAGTCAGCACAAATTTTGAATGAATGGCAAATAACCTATGCTTTTCTAACGTGCTAAAGTATCATTAGACACAGTAAGGTTATGCCTGTACTTTAAAAAAAGTTCGTGAGGTCTTTATTAATCCATTAAAGTTTTCATTTGTTTTTAAAATAACAAAGTGAAGGGAAAAGCCTGAGTTTCTGGATTATTTGGTTGAAAGTGCTTTATCAGAAAGCATGAATGAAGATTCAGAAGGCTAAGAACTTGATAGAATACCTAACTGTCTTTACATTCCATTTTTGTGGATATTGTACACATAAAAAGAATACAGAATGGAACTCATTAAAACCTAACAATAACCTTCTCCGTGCGTTTACGGAGTTAGCAATACTTTACAGGACCCTAGGCTGAGTAAAAATCGAGAGCTCTAGCGGCCATATTTAACACACATTTCGTAAATTAATTTCTCGAATTCACACTTTTAAGAGGTTTACAAATTTATTGGCGATAATTTGAGGTCAGGCAATAAAGCTAAATCACATCCCACGGAATGGCCGAGGAGAAAATTTCAGCTATCTGTCTTAAGACATGAATAGTCTAGAATTGGCATAACTTCGGACCCAGTCTAAGCCACTTCGGCTATGAACAGAAGTACATGTCACGTTTCCTTTTTTTTATATGGGATCCGGTTTATCGCGGAAACGTGTGGGATATAAAGAATGGTTAAGGGCATTTTACTCAACAAAAGAGTAGAATTTATTCAGATATGCTGGTGGAATAAGTGGTTGCAAAACGACAAAAGCTTTGAGGACTCTTGCAATAGGTAAACAGGGAGATTACTTCATACACTTCCTCCGCTATTCAGGATAAGCGTTTTAAAGAAATATTGCGCCTGATTCTCCCATAATGAATTAAAATAATCTGCGTTATCTGCATAAACATATGAGTACTGGATAAATATAATTTTTAGAATCAGGAAAAATTGATTCAAAGAATGCTATTATACGGTACATATAAAAATTAATAAATTTATTGAAAATATTTGTTCACAATCGCAACAAAACCAAATCTAAATCGGAAAGCGATGACTTATTTTAAATATCAACAACATTATTAATGTCAATACCCTATACAGCTCTGAAAAGAAACAATCTTTTAAATTATTTAAAACGAAGCGGCAATTAATTTAAAAGGAGGACAATTATTCTGCATTTAGTTATTAGTTTCTTTCAGAATGTAGTTATACTAACAACTAATCTATCGCTTTCAATAGATCGTTCATAAATTTGTTGTTTATATTTGTTGCTGTTTTATTTTAAATTTAATTATTGTTAGGGAGGGAGAGATTCTTTCCATCTCACCCATGAATACGCACAAGAATACTATTTTTTTTTTTTTTTAACATTTTAACATAACTGTGTACAGTTTTAATAATTTAATAAACAATACTACGCGTTTCTCAGTAACCTGATAAATAATAGACTGTAAAATAGCCACGAGTTTGCTTCTCGGTACCTGGGAGGCTTTCAAATCTGGACTTAATCCCTCACCCTCTAGCTCGAGAAAACTCGTATAGCCTAAAAGCCGAGGAAGGAGAGTTCATCGTCGTATATTTCTCTCAATCTCGGAGAAGGCTAGATATGTTTTTTATTTCCATTTAGACGCTATACCTATTTATTTGCAAATAGATCATAGATTTTAGTGGTACAGGATTCTTGTCATATCCCGAGGTTTTTATTGAAAAAAAAATTGAAATAGGTAGCATAGTTTCGAAAATGATTGGGACATACCTGTTCTGTATCCGGCATTACTCAGATAGGTGGCGAACGTCCTGGTCTCGTAGGTGGATTGCCATTGGGGCCCCGAACAGTTGCCGTTGTTGGTGAAGACCTGATGGTTGTGCATGTACATCCCGGTGAGCATGGAGCTTCGCGAAGGGCAGCACATGGGCGTGGTTGTGTAGGCATGCCTGAACTCTGCGCCGCCGTCCCTCAGCAGCTTCAGGGTACGTGGCATGAACGTTAGCGAACCTGCGGAGGAAGAGGAATAAATGTTAGTCACACAGAAGTCTCTGTCACACAGAATCTTTTATTAACATAAGAAATGTAAAAATCTGGTGCGTTGCGAGGATCACACAACTATTACTTACCATCCTCTCTTGGGAAGAAGTTAATTCAAATTAAATTAATAAACTTTAAGAACACTACTGGTTGGCCAAAGAATGATTTTCATTTAAATTTCTCGCGTTACGGCGAGTGGTGGGGGCAGATCTAAAAGATAAAAGATAACACTTAAGCTTTGAGAGAGACTGGTTGACTCGATGCGACTACTTGAGCAGCATCCAACCAATGAAATTGTTTAAGTAATCACTGTTGTTGTTTTTTAACAGGACTCCAACCAGCACTCATAATTTATTCAATTATATATATATATATATATATCTTTCAGAGCAATTATAGTTTTTTAAACCGCCCCCTGCCTAAGTTGAATCACATTATATATGCTTACAGCATATTTCATTAATTGGTAAGCGAAAGTAAAAATAAGCCTATATATTCCCTGTATATAATCTAATATATCTTCGTTATCGATTCTAATATATGTTCGCTAGAACCATAACTAAGATGAACCAACGAGACGAAAAGGAAAAAAAACGAGCTTGGGATTAGCGAATGGCTGCTAATTAGCAATAGGTTATTTTTAACTGTTATTTTCGTTAGGGAGTAGTTAACTGCTCATTAAGTTGAAAACTAATAAGGCAGTTCCGGAATAGCCCATGAAGAGCCTAAGGGTATAGCTTTATGATTCTTCATCACGCGTATTCTTCCAGACAGTGCAGTCAATACTGTGCGCAAACTGATTTATACCTTCACTGAAGGTATTCACTTTTTTTTGCATATTGAACTACGAAAGCGCCAGTTTAACATCTGTTCCAATCCTCTTAAACCACGTTATTTTTTTTTCTAATATGAGATAGCAATGTGTCCAGTCAGGATTTCGGACTGATTTTATTCAGCATATGTAGTGAGAGAAGGATCCCCATTATCCGGGCTAAACATTGAAAAATTGAAACTTGAACGTAGTTGGACTGGTAAAAATTACTCTTAACCTTGGATTTCAAGGCTGGTCCAAATAAATTGGTTGGCTCAAAACTAGCTCACATTTTTTTCAGTATATTTTGCGTTCATAGCATTCAACACTATTCTCCATAATAATTTCTAAGTCCTTCAATTGTTGAAGAGTCCTTTTCAGGATATAAAATTATTTGAAGAAAAATAAAACGTACACTGTAAACGCGACTGCAAAGAATCATATAAGAAATGGTATCACTAATTTAATAAACGCAAAATAAAAGAGAATCTTGAAGCTCGTCAATAAAAATTTAAAAAACGACGTTTACTTTAAAATAGATTTATTTAAAACAAATTTCTTTAAGTTCACAAATTCTTAAGATAGCGATTATTTCTTTTTATTATCTCCCATATGACAAAATAAATCTTAATATGTTCATTTTTTTTCTTCCAGACCTTTAGACAACATATTAAGTAGTTACATAATTTCTATTCCTACATACAACCTCGTTTTGTTAGTAAATATCGTACATTATTGGAGTGGAATGAAGAAAACATACGCAAACAGACGCATCAGTTCGGAGTGCTATATTTAATCATTTTTTTTTTTTTTAATTTGCAATCTTAAATATTCTTTTCGCTACAGTCACATTCGGTCGAGTAAGACAAAACTCGCGACATCGACCGAAATTTCAGTAACGACTGTAAAATGTGTACAAGAATTATCTTAATGGCTTAGAAGCATATAATTATTATTAGAGTATTTATAATTATCAAAAACTCTATAGCATCATTTTTTTGTTAGGATGATATATCGTTTTATAAAAACATAATTTTTAATAAACTGATAAATCATATTTTTTCAAAACCGACATATTGTTAAGAAAAAACATTATTTTTTCCTGAAATATCGGTTAAATGAATATAAAGTTGAATCGAATAAAACTGTTAAAAAAAATAATGACCCATGGACATTTAAAACACTTGAATTTTTAATAAATAATGCTACATTGTTAAGTTTTTAAAGTCTATTTTATACATCTACTTTTTTTGCGGTTTTTTTTTAGCCCTATAAATTTCAGAAATCGTCTTGTCTCGGTCCGAAATATGTATATATCATATATTGTATAATTGTAATTGTGTGTATTAGTATATACAGTATTGATATTGTTTGTGCTGTGGTAATATGAAAAAGAATTTCTATATATATAAACATATGATTAAATATAATTAAGTGCTATGTCCAAAAAAAAAAAAACAGGATTGATGAGTATGCTGTGTATCGAGCAACCCTATATAGTAGGGCAGCACTGCTTTAAATAAAGTATTTCTCTCTCTCTATTTAATTGTCATATATGATAGTAATTTCTATTTTTTTCCTTTTTCAGTATATAATAACTTTTTATTCAGTAGACAAATAGAGTATTGTTATTTATATTATTTTTTTTTTTAAATACTGCAGTGGCAGAGGAGTTTTGTTTCAAGTTCATCACTGCCTATGTTAAATTTTAGACTTGGTTGAGTACAAATAGATTTAAGTTTGAGACAAAAACTAGAAAAAAGATTAATGATAATAAATATGTTTAAAAAATCATGTTATTCTTACCGCCAAAAGATCATTACCATTTGATTCGACAAATTAAATGGAGTATGAACCTCTCAAAATTATCATAAAGGAATATCTATGTGAAAAAAAACATATCCAGAAAAGCGAGATTTTGCCACTGTGCGTTAACGTTTTTTTTTTTTTTTTGTTTGGTACTTGTGAGCGACATGGCCTCTATGGACTTCTTTCCGCAGTTATCTTGTTATTTAAAGTGTTGTTGTTGTTATTTATATTTCTTATTATTAATTATTTATAACCTGAACACTGATAATTGTTATAAGGCGCTGATAATCCCTATCTTCATATGAAATTAGACGCTCGTATAATAAGGAATATAAATATATTTGGTGTTATTTACTTTTTTGCCTGTTTCTTATTAATATATATGCATTAATAAGAATTATAAATATAATAATAATATAGTAATTTAATAATAAGAAATATAAATAACAACAACTACAACAATTTAAATAACAAGATAACTGCAGATAGCAGACATTTCCTTAACATGATTTACGGACGCAGGAAAGGTGTAATTTCCTTCTTAATAGATACTGTTCTTTCAGTTCTTATTAACCAACATCTTTAATAATAATAATAATAATAATAACAGTATATCTTTAATAATAATAAGAAATATAAATAACAACAACAACACTTTAAATAACAAGATAACTGCAGATAGATGTCCATAGAGGCCGCGTCGCTCACGAGTAGCGTTTTTTTTTTTTTTTTGTTATTTATAAAGTTAGGATCGATTTGATTTGACGATGTTAAGCAACAATATAAAGGTATTTGGTACATTTTGGTATACTCTATCAAACAGAGTATGAACCTCCTCAATTTCTTTTTTTTTTTCTATACTTATGAGCGCTGCGGCCTCTATGGACTTCTGTCTGCAGTTATCTTGTTATTTAAAGTGTTGTTTTTGTTATTTATATTTCTTATTATTATTAAAGATATGCTGTTGGTTAATAAGATCCGAAAGAACGGTATCTATTAAGAAGGAAATGACACCTTAGCGTCCGTATGTCATGTTAAGTAAAAGTAGCATAAAAAGTTATAATGGTATGCAGAAAAGCTGTTAGGATAGTCTGAGCAAACAGGAGGCCCCTACACCCCCACGGCAAACAATTAACGAAGACGCTGGCCGTACAATGGAGAGGAAGAGGATCGGTGGTGCTGACTGTTCGAGAGGTGGGGAAGCACCCACGCGGGGAACAACTATTTACGGAGTTGCCGAATCCGTGGGTGCGTGGGTGGCGTCTGTGGGCTCATTCAGAAAGTTTCTTTCATTCATCTCGGGCCAGCCTGCAACAGGTGGCCCTATCTCACTCATCTTAATTTGTATATATTAATATATTCCTCTTTTTATTCTCTTATTTTTTATTTTATGTTTTTTTTTTCTTTTCTAAATCGTTTTAGGGCCCACGTCTTCTTGCCTCCGCCGGTCGGATGTGTACTATCAATCATATTTAGGCGTACAATCTTTTCATTAATCGAAATTCAAATTAGAAAACATCTTAGCCACTCAATTAACGGGAATGATTGAATCCAATTAGTAAAGTTCATAAAATTTATTATCTACATTTCCATGATTATGTTTCAGTAGGAAATAATAAATTGAACTCATTACTACTAAATACTAAATAATATTTTACTAAAATTATTCTCATAGGTGATACATATTCAGGACGCTGCCCTTTAAAAAAAAAAAATTTTTTTATTTATGCCAACGTTTCAACCCAAACATGTGGGTCATCTTCAGTGCTGAAACGACCGATAATGGTAAATAATAAACTATAGGGATTGATGGTACATGAATCTTAACTAATATTACAACACACATATTAAAAATTAAATATGTAAATAGTTATACAAATTAAAAATTAAAAATAATGTATATAATCCATTTATACAAATTTGTCATATTTTCTCTTGCTAACCGTGGTTTGAGGACTGAGTCTTGAACACCCCCAGTGCTCAAATCACGGTTAGTAAGAGAAAATATTACAAATTTGTATAAATGGATTATATACATTATTTTTAATTTTTAATTTGTATAGCTGAGTCAGTACTTTAACACCCTCAGTGCTCAAACCACAGTTAGTAAGAGAAAATATTACAAATTTGTATAAATGGATTATATACATTATTTTTAATTTTTAGTTATAACTATAGTAGTAAAACTATTTACATATTTCATTTTTAATATGTGTATTGTAATATTAGTTAAGATGCATATACTACCAATCACTATAGTTTATTACTTACCATTATCGGTCGTATAATATTATATCTCTGATTATATTTTAAAAATTTTCAGCCCTGAAGATGGC